AAACTCAACAGGCCTACCCCGTCTTTGTCACCATGCCACCCTGGGCCTTAGTTTGCCCATGTTTAAAATGGGGGCAGTTGCCAGTTCCTGGATATAGCATCCCCATCTGCTGCCTGGACACAGGCTTATTATTACGGGTACAGTCCCTGTGTTTGACTCCAACCTTAGCCTGGCAGGGTTGATCATGAACACTGGGTTTAGGGAAAAATTGGGGAGGACTATCCCTCTGTGCCCTTTCTCCAGTTGTTGAGATGGTTCCTGCTCATTGTTTTCTTGCAGATTATCAACTTCGTACCAGCTAGAAGGGAGACGAGGTACGGGCTTGAACATAGGCCTCCCTCTTCATAGCTCCTGACTGCAGACTTTAGAGAGGGAAGGAAGGCGGAGAAGGTGTGTGTGAGCAGGCTCCTTGTTGGCTTGGCAGTTTCTTGCTTCCTGCTCCCAGCGCCTGGCCCCCTCCCAGTCTTGTTCTCTACCCACAGACTGGGTGGGATGGTCTCCCTCCTCCCTCTGCCTCCAGCTCCTCCACTCCCACTTTCATATGAAGAAAGGAGGGGCTCGAAAGCCCCTTCAGGAGTGCCTTCTTGCAGTGACTTGCCTTAGGGGATGTGGGGGCCCCTCCTCCTTCACAGCTGCTGAGCCCAGAGCCTCTCTGGCGCACTCCTCTGCATTTTAGGATGGCATTAAAAAGATGAATTTAGCCACTGTGTATGTCCTTCTTGCCTGGGGACTGGGGATGCCAGGGACGTCTCTGAATTGTGGGATGGGAATGGGCAACACATATCCATCCCTCAGCCCAGGTTATAGTTTATCTAGGCCAGCCCCACTGCCTCCAAATCCGTCCTCTGGATGGAGACTTTTCTCTCTGAAGTCAGTTACCTTCATAGCAGCCAGAGGGCGCCTGTTAACTCCTAAATCAGATCCTGACTCTTAGAACCCTCCCATGCTTCCTATCTGGCTAGAAGTCAAATCCTCAGGGCAACCCATCAGCTTAGTCTGATCTGTGCTGCCCACCTCGCCACCTACCTGCTCTCACCTCCTCGCTCTTCCTGGACACACCAGGCACGTTCCCACTTCAGGGTCTTTGCATCTGTAGTGCCGCTGATCTGGCATGCTTTTCCTTAGATGTCCCTATGGCTCCTTCCTGTGCGTACCTTTAGGTCTCAAATCAATGCCACCAACTCAGTGGCCCTCCCTGACCTCTCTATTTCAACTGCCTTCCTTTCCCAATAGACTATCATTTATCCCATTTTATCAGGTCCTTAACGTTTACCCCTCTTTAAAGATTTAATTATTGTCCTCTCCTGCCCTAAATGGTAGCTCGCTCTCCACTTGGGCGCCTAGTACAGAGTAGGTGCTCAGTAAATATTTGAATGAAGGCCTCTGTAAGAGCCACCTCCCGGGCTCAACCACGTGGCAGCTGCGGCGTGAATGTTCCTCCTCGTCCTTGCACTTGCTATGCCAGGGCTGGCTCAATCTGAGCCGGAATGGTATTTCTTCCTCACCCACACTCATTTCCCCATTTTATTATTTTTTTTCTCGGTGCTTAATGCTATCTTAAATTATTTAGGTGTTTGAATGTACGCTCCCCAGCGCAGGGAATGGTTCCTGCACATGGTGAGTGAATGAATGAAATAAAACGCTCTGTGCCCTGTAAGGGCGAATAAATTCTTACCGCGAGGCTGAATGGTGGAACCCCGGACTGGGCAGCGCCCGCCCTACCTCCCTTCCCCCACGGACGTGCAGAGGGCCTGGAGCAGCCCGAGCCACCCTACCCCTGACCTTTCTCTCCCGGGTCAGTTAAACGGGCCCGCTCTCCCGCCCGCCAGGCGTATTTGAAAACCGAAAACCCCGCCGTTCCAGGCGGTCCACCAATCGCCCGGCTCGGCCAATCAGGAGCGTCACCGCCCACGGCGAAGCGCAAACCCACCTCGGCAACGCGTAGCCATTGGCTGCACTGAAAGTGTGGGCTAGGAGCCGCAAGGTCGGGCGCCGGACAACGTAACTGGGCTACAAAGTAGCGAGTTCATAAGAAAACAAATGTGCCGCGTTCGGGGGCGGGGCCTAGAGCGCGCTGTCTCCGCCCCCTGGCGGACTGCGCCGCGGCCGCGTCGGCGTCGACTGCACAGAAGAGACCCCGCCCGTAGAGGAGGAGGGAGGGTGAGTTGGGCGGAGACCGGGCCCCCTACGGGCAGTGGAGGGTTGGGCCGGGTTCCCAGCCCCTTACAACCAGCGGGTTGACAGAGGGGAGGAGCCGGCCGGGAAGGTGGGGGTCGCGCTGGAGCTCTGGACTTGCTAGCCGGGCCGGCAGCCTTGAGCTGGCTGAGCATTCTGCGGGAGGGCTATTTAGGTCCGTTTCGGCGGTTTTCCCCGCCCTGACCGCGCCGGGGTGGGGCGGGGGGCTTCTCAGACCGTCAGTGTCGACATGCTGCTGGAGGAGGTCCGCGGCGGCGACCGGCTAAGCGGAGCTGCGGCCCGGGGCGACGTGCAGGAGGTGCGCCGCCTTCTGCACCGTGAGCTGGTGCACCCTGATGCCTTGAACCGCTTCGGCAAGACGGCGCTGCAGGTGAGGCCGGTCTATTCAGCAGCAAGACTAGGGCGGCAGAACCGGGAGAGAACTGAGATCTCAGACACCGTCCCCAAAGTCTCCTGGCTCCGGTGGTGGCCGACTGGGATCCGGTCCTCCATTTCTGGGCTGACATTGCTGCCTGAGGTCCCCTTTCCTATGTGGGTGGTGGATGAGGCTAGGATGGGGGAAGGGAAGGCTTTCCATCTCTGGAGAATTCCTCGTTCTTTGGGTGCTGGGGATTCAGTTTCCCTGGGAAGGTTCTTATTCTATGAATGAGAGTTCAGCTTCTTTGGGTACCAGTTTCACGAGGACGGCTCTGGTTTCTTTGGGCTTCTATGGGGACGAGGGGCGGGGAATCCGATCGCTAGAAGGGATTCATGTCTCCAGGCCGTTCTTATTATCTAGTGGCTTCTCTGAGAGGTATCCAGTTTCTTTGCGGGGGGGGGGGGATTTTGTTTTCACATTCCTGGTATATTATGGGGGATCCTACAGGGGAAACAGTTACAGCTTGCATGGTAGTACTCTATTCTCCGGGAGTCATTTTAGTGGAGAACCCCATTTCTAGAGGGGTTCAGGTGCTCTGGGGAGCATTCCAATTACATGAGAAGGGCTATTCGTTGGAGAAGGGGTTTCAGGTTCCCTGGGCATCTCCTTTCCCTTGAGAGGACTGTCTTTTTTGGGGGGGACAGTTCTCATTTTATGAGACCAGTTTCCTGCAGGGAGGTTTATATTTCCTGGTGATTTCCCACATCTGAAGGGGGTGATCCTCTGGTTCCTTGGAGAGGTTCGTAGCTTCTTTGAAAGTTTGTGTGACAGTTATTCCTAGGGGGGTGTCTTATCCTTAGGGGGTGACCAGTTTCTTGATGGGGTTGCTCTTCTTCCTATGAGACCTTGTTCTCTAGGAGCTTGTGTTCCCTGGATTTTTTCCATCCTCCAGGTGATGTTTTCTCTGATGTTCCCTATTTCTGAATGACCCCTCTTTTCATTGATGCCTTTTCCTGGAATCCCTCCCTTGCGGACTCCCTTGCATTCTGCTCCTGCACAGGTCATGATGTTTGGCAGCCCCGCCATTGCCCTGGAGCTCCTGAAGCAAGGTGCCAGTCCCAATGTCCAGGATGCCTCTGGCACCACTCCAGCCCATGATGCAGCCCGCACTGGATTCCTGGACACTCTGAAGGTTTTGGTAGAGCATGGTGCTGATGTCAACACGCCTGATAACACGGGAGCACTCCCCATCCATCTGGCAGTGCGAGAGGGTCACACAGCTGTGGTCAGCTTCCTAGCTGCTGAGTCCGATCTCCACCACAGGGATACCACGGGGCTCACACCCCTGGAGCTGGCACAGGGAAGAGGGGCTCAGGATGTCACGGACATACTTCAGGGACACACAGGTGCACTGTGACCCAAGACCACCTACTGCAGCAACAGGACCCAGCTGGGTTCTATCTCAGAAGAGGAGGAAAGAAACACTTTCTCTTTTTGCTCTTCCTGCCCACTGCCAAAGCTGGAGGGGCACCAGTTTGTGGCTTGTTGGTGTTGATTTCTTGGGTGTGTGTGTTTAAGGGGCATTTCTCATTTGTTTTTCCCTATTGTGTGTTTGGTGAGAAGGACTCCTGTAGGCAACAGCCACCTAAACGGTTCAGTTTCCTCCACGCCCTAGACTGCTGGGGCAGCTGATGAGTCTGAAGGGCAGAACATTTAAAGCCTGAGCCCCAGAGTGAGGTCATTGCTTCCAGGGCTACTGGAACCCGGCAACTTTGGCTGACTGTACCCAGAGAGAGAGCTCAAGTGTGCACACTGCTTTTGATCATGGGGGGAGGGGGGAGTTCCAAATGAATAAAAGTGTAGTATGAGTTCATATTTTGTTGGAAGCTTGTTTTCCAGTCTCTTCTTGTACAGCGTTGAAAAAAAATTCTATTTATTAATCTTTATGGAAAAAAGTTGTGTGGTAATTTAATGTTTTATCCATTAAATTAATTCTTGTGCGTGATCAAAGTGCTGGTGGCTTGTGATTTTTGAGTCTGCGATGGAGAGTCACAAGTCCAGGATATTCGTCGCGGTGGGCACCGGGGTCGCAGATTGTAGATGCTTCGGGGGAGGGAAGAGAGTAGTAATTCCCAGGGCGCCAGGAGTGAGTGAGTTGGGTGGGGCCGCGGTTTGCACTGTCGGAACGGAAAGGGAGGCAGGAAACCGCGAGTGGAGAAAGGGCCCCCAGATGTCAGCTGGGTGGGGGTAGCCCCGGGGTGGGGTGGGCGGTGGCTGAAGCCTTCCCTTCAGAGGCGTGACCGTGGGCGTGGACTGCGGTCAGGCCGCGTAAGAGATTCCGGAAAAACCGGAGGCGGAGTTAGGCGAGGTTTGCGAAGCCCCGCTTCCTTTACAGTACGCGTTGGGCGGGGACCTAGAGCAGCCCGCCTCCTCGGGGGGCGCTCGCTGTACGCGTGCGCAGTGGACAGCAGGGGCCGCCATGCCGGAGCCGCGCGGTTCTTCTCCCTTACGGGTAAACGCGGCGTTTGCTGCACGGTACAGCCGGTATCGGGAACGTGAGGAGCTGCAACGGCGTGAGTGCGGGGCTCATGATCCCGGGCCTTCGGCGCTGCTGGGCCATCGGGAAGTGGGGGTTGGTATGGCCTCCGCATTCTGATCTGGGGTCCTCCCGTCTGTGCCCCGCAGTGAAAGATCGATACCGGGACCGGGGCAGCGGAGAGGACTCCAGCTCCGAGTCTGACTCCAGCGACGAGTGTGTGGTGAGCTTCCTCACCCCGATCCGGGACGTACGGGAGGCACTCAAGGCAGCCACCATGTTCTGACTCCAACTATAGCAGTCGGCTAGGGCTCACCCCGTCGCGCCGTGTCTGAGCGTCCAACCCCCGCCCTCAATCCCATGAGTATCAGACGGCGCCCTGCCGATTCTCAGGGGGTGGCCAAATCCACTCCTCCCCCGCTACGGATCCACCTGCTCATCCTGATGTGTTTGGTGTGCCCCTCTCTATCCTTTGTATCTTCCAAAAGTCTAACCATTTCTGTTTCCGACTCTGTCCCCAAAGCGGAGCATCTGCCACACGGGGCACCCCACTTCTCCTCACATCACTGTGCAGCCCAGTCCCTCTCACTGTCTGCCTCGAGCCATCTCTTCTACCTGCCCCATGTCAATCCCATGTCCTCAGGAAGTATCCGCTCTTTGCTACCTTTCTCTGTCTCAGGTTCTATACTTATGTATGTTCCTTCCTCCCTTCTCTCCCCATTTGACACCCTCTCACTGCACCTGCCTCTCCCCACTGGGGTCCCCGTTCATTCCATCTAATGTATGCCCATTCCTCCACCCTAATTCCCACACCCTCTCAGCCGACCTACCCGGTTGCTTACTGCTTTCGATCGCTCTCACCACCTCCCTTCTGAAGACTGTCCCCAATCCTTTTCTTGCCCTAGGAATTTGACCCCCAGCAGGAGCGAGACTTTTACAGGACACTCTCCCTGCTGAAGAAGAAGGATCCCTGCATTTATCAGGAAGATGCTACCTTCTACTTGCAAGGTTCCTCATTGCTTTATCATCTGTTGTGACTATTTAATGAATCATTTTATATCGAAAGTGCTTAGTAGAGTACCTTAGGTTATTATCTGTTGATGTTAATAACCATGTGCTCGGTATTGTTCAGAGCATGAGTTACTCGCTGAGTAATCACTGCCAGGTACTACCAGGTGGTAGCTAGTGTGATAACTGTTGTGCATTTGGGAACTGGTGGCTTGGGGATTTGAAGACTTTGTCTGACCCTGGCCTAGCCCTGTGGGATTCTCTGTCTTGGGAAAGAAGGAAGTTGTGGTTGTTGGTAATGGCAGGTGTCTTCTGGTGATTCTGCAGCAACACCCTTGGAGAGTGAGGAAGAGCTGGCGGCCAAGAAGCAAAAGAAAGTGCGGCCCATGTACTTGAAGGACTATGAGAGGAAGGTTATCTTGGAGAAAGAAGGGTGAGGAGAGGAAGGTCTGACTCATACCATCCCCTGCCCTGCCTTCCCAGAGCAGGTGGATGCATAGGGGTCTTAGGGGCAGGGGTGGGAAGAAGCCAGTGACTCACCAGAGTTGCGGGAACGCCAGAGGACAGCTTCCTCCACGATGGCTTGTACCCCATTGGCGCTCCCACCTGCGGCTCGTAACTGCCCCCCACCACACTGGGACAGACAGACTGGGGAGCCTATTTTGAAGCCCCAATCCTTCTTTGCACAGCAAATATGTTGATGAGGAGAATTCAGACGGGGAGACCTCCAATCAGAGACTTCAGGTGGGTGGGGTGGAGGCTGGGTGGGGACTGGGGAGCCCAGGGCTGGGCCTGAGGCCCATGGTACTCTGTCTTGAGCAGGTCTCGTCGAAAAGTTACGTGGAAGAACAGCAACAGCTCAAGGAAAGGTGAGTGGGGCCAGTGAGTAGCCAAACTGATAGGAGTTGAGGCTCTGGGTTGAGACAGGTCTGGATTCAAATCCAGCTCTCACGAATGGCTGTGTGCCCTTAAGTTCCTTGCTCTCACAGTGCCTCAGTTTCCTGATCTGTTAAATGGGATTGATAATGCCCTCTGTGTCTCAGCACCACTCTGAGCTTGTCAGGAAGAACTCAGGGCTTAGTGAACAGGGTTAATCTTGGGGGTGTGGACAGGGCTAGGCCGGCTGTTTTGCGACTTGCTCTCTCATGTGGGCAGCTTCCGAACATTGGTGGAGGACAGTGAAGATGAGGATAGTGCTGGGGAAGGTGGTTCCGGGTTGCTGCAGAAACGCGCTAAAACCAAGGAGGAGAAAGTAGGTGCTGGGGCCCCCGTTGGACCAGGGCTGTGGGCAGCTGGGCAGCACTTGGGCTCCCGCAGACCCTCAGTGCTGGCCTTCCCCCAGGTCCAGGAGGATGCTGACTACATTGAATGGCTGAAGGGGCAGAAGGAGATTCAGAACCCTGAGACCCTGAGAGACCTGGTGAGTTTCCATGCATAGTTGCTGAAGGACTGCGCGGCCTCTTCTGCCTTCAGCCAACCTTTTCCAGAAACCACCCCTTGAAGGGGTAGCTAAGAACACATGCTGTGAAGATGGTTGCGCTCCTCTCTGGGCCTCAGTTTCTACATCTGTGAAGTAGGAATAATGCCCATCATCTATTTCATAGGCTGGCTGTGACGTTTCAGTTACTGAATTCACGTGATGCCCATGCCCGCCCTCCTTCCCTGCCTCTGAGTGTCTCACCTGGGTCCTGTCACCCCTTCCCTCCCAGACCCACCTCAAGGAATATTGGAACAACCCAGAGCTGGATGAAGGGGAGCAGTTCCTGCGGGATTATATCCTCAGCAAACGTTATGAGGAAGAGGGAGATGATGAGGAAGAAGAAGAGGAGGAGGAGGAAGAAAGGTGAGCAGCCCTGTTTTCACCACGGGCCCGGAGCCAGCACTGGCTGGAAAGCAAAGGGCACCGGTGTTTGCCTTTTCACACAAACGGTAGCAGCATTAGTCACCTGTGAGGAAGAGCCATGGAGTGTAGGCTTTGGAGCCAGGTGGTACTTGTTCAAATCCTCACCCTGCTGCTAGATTTCTGTGTCTCAGTTTCCCCGTTTGTACAGTTGGGGTAACCATGGCACCTACCATAGGGTTCTTGGGAGGATTGAATGTGTTACTACTCTCCATATGCAGGAGATCGTCTGACCCCAGCCCTGCTCGCTCTCATCCCTCAGGGTCCCAGGCCCCCCGGTTCAGCTGTCTGTGGACGACTCCTCAGATGAAGGGGAGCTGTTTCTGAAGAAGCAGGAGGACTTTGAGCACAAGTACAATTTCCGCTTCGAGGAGCCCGACTCAGCCTTGGTAGGTTGCTAGGGCTGGGGCTTGGGAGGAGCCGGCCCACGACAGACAGGCTGAGAGAACCCAGAATCATCTCTTTGGCCCACAGGTCAAGACCTACCCCCGGAACATCACATCCTCTGTGCGCCGCAAGGACGAGCGCAGGAAGGAGAAGAGGGAGGAGATGCGGGAGCGAAAGAGAAGGGTGAGTGGGAGGGGATGGTGGGTTCAGGAGGACCCGTAGCCTGTGGAGAGGATCCCTGCCCTCTCTCTTCATCTGGCCTGCCACCCACAGGAGAAAGCAAAAAAGCAGGAGGAACTTAAGCAGCTGAAGAACCTGAAGAGGAAGGAGATTCTGGCCAAGCTGGAGAAGCTGCGGCAGGTCACAGGCAATGAAACAGTGGGCTTTGAAGAACAGGACCTTGAGGACGACTTTGACCCTACCCGACATGACCAGCTCATGCAGGTAGGGCCCCCACACCCAGGCCCATCCCTGCAACCAGGTGGTTGTGAACGTGGCTCTGGAGTCAGTGGTGTTTCTTGGCTGCGTAGCCTCAGAGAAGTGAGTTGACTTCTCTGAGCCTTTGTCCCTGTCTGTAACGTGGGTCTAACCATAGCATCTACGGCAGAGCTGTTGTAAGGCTAGCTTGAGAGGAATACACATAACAGTTTAGTTGGTAAGTGCTCAAAAAACAGTGAGTCACTGTATTTCCTTTGAACTCATTTACTATGCTATTAATATTTATTGTTGTGTTTCTGGGAATATAACATCAGGCCATTGAAACAGGTGATGCAGTCTGTGTGGGGAGCAGTGGGGACCACAGGAGCCCCAAAGAGGCCCCTGATCAAACCTGGGAAGTGAGGGAAGGGGACTGAGGGCACATAGGTAGGCCAGGTGAAAACCAGTCTAGGGAGGTGCTGTGTAGTTGGAGTTTAGCCTTCACTTCTTAGAATCTTCTCCGTCCTGAGCTTCAGTTTCTCCATAGAAAGGAGGTATATTCTGTCTCGGGTGCTTGTGCAAATGCAGGATGTAACCAATATTGGGCATATAGTAGGTGCTCAGTAAATGACCTGTTTAGCAATCTCTCCCTTTGCCAGGCCCTGCCCTGGGTGCTGGGGTCTCAGCCCTCTTGGAGCTCGTGGAGTGGTGAGAACCAGTCTAACATTCACTGGTCAGCCACGATACGCCAAGCACCAGGCAGCATAGAGGTCTCTGCTTTCTCAGAGCCCCCAGTCTAGTGGCCGGCACGTAACTGTATGGTTACAACCTGCAGGGTTTGAGTGGTGATGGGGCCGTGCAGAAGGAGGTGGGACCTTAGAAGAGTCCTCTGACCAGCTTCGTGAGGCCCACATCGGGAGCTGGGTCCTGAGAGGCTGCTAGGGGGCTGTGTAAGTTACAGGAGTAAAGCTGTCTGGGGGGGTTGGGCCCTGCTGACCCTCCCGGCCCTGCAGAAATGCTTCGGGGACGAGTACTACGGCACGATGGAGGAAGAGAAGCCACAATTTGAGGAAGAGGAAGGGCTTGAAGGTGAGGTGACTGGACGGGGATGGGAGTGCTGGGTCTAAAGCCTGGGGTCCCATCCTGAGCCCCCTGGGCCCATGCCTGCCTGTCTGCTCTGGAACCCAGAAGACTGGAACTGGGACACGTGGGCTGGGCTGGAGCAGGGCGGAGACTGGAGCCAGCAGGAGCTGCACTGCGAGGACCCAGACTTCAATGTAGGTGCTATCGGCAGCGGGGTGGGGGGGTACCTTGGACGGTCCCAGGGACCATGAGGGATGGTCTAACGTGCTTGCCTTGGCAGATGGATGCTGACTATGACCCCAGCCAGCCGCAGAGGAGGAAGCGTGAGGCCCCCTTAACTGGCAAGAAGAAGCGCAAGTCACCCTTCGCTGCAGCTGTGGGGCAGGAGAAGCCCGTGTTCAACCCTGGTGAGGCCCGGGCGGGCATGCAGTGGGTGAGCCGGGGCCCTGCAGGGCCAGCACACCCCAGCAGCGCGGCCCTCTGCCCCCGCAGGGGACAAGACTTTCGAGCAGTACCTGGACGAGTATTACCGGCTGGACTATGAGGACATCATCGACGACCTACCCTGTCGATTCAAGTACCGCAATGTGGTGCCCTGTGACTTTGGGCTCAGCACTGAAGAGGTAGGGCCCCAGGTGGGCATGGGACCCTGGGAGGCATCCAGGAGGCAAGGGGAGCGCAGAGCTAGCCGTTGCTGCCACACAACCTATTTCCTCATTTTGAAAATGGCAGGAATAATAGTGCTAATGAGGGGACAAACATCTGCTTCAAAGGGTTTCAGTGAGATGGGGGCTTCAAACAGCCCCTTGTAAATATTACAGTGGACCCCTGAACAACACAGGAGTTAGGCTGCTGACCCTCTTAAGTCAAAAGTCTGTGTATAACTTCGGATTCCTCAAAAAGTTAACTGTAGTTTGCCCTTCATAGCTGCAGTTTCAAATCTGTGGACTCAACCTTTGCAGATGCAGAAAGCTGACTGTACTAATACCCTACTGCTGACTGGAGCCTTACTGATACCATAAACAATTGATTAATATACATTTTGTATGTTATATGTGTTACGTATACTGTATTCTTACAAGAAAGTAAACTGGAGAAAAAACATTAAGAAAATTTTAGGGAAAATACATTCATTGTATTTACTGGAAAAGGTCTGTGTGCACGTGTGTGTGGAGATACATATACATGAATGAATCCATGCAGTTCAAACCCATCTTGTTCAGGGGTCAACTGTACCTTTAATGCTGTTAATATATATCCGCGGCAGGGTGGCCATTAAGGCTAGGTGGGCTCTGGAACCAAGTAGTCTGGGTTCAAATCCTGCCTTAGCCATGCGCCAGCTGTGTGACCTTGGACAAGAGACTCAAGTCTTTGGGCCTCAGTTTCCCATCTATAAAACAAGCTTAAAAACAGTCCCGCCTCATGGCTGTGGAGCTGAAACGATGTGTGGCTCTTTAGATGGCACTTGTCCCTTAGCCATCCATGATGGTTATGGGTGCTTGGCTGTTCCTGGTCAGCAAAAATAGCTGACGTTTACTGAGCTTAGGCCATCTGCACTCATTTTTGACCACCTTCCAGCAGGTTCTGAGGGGATGCCAACCTCATAAACGAGGAAACTGCAGCCTGGGGTCAGGAGCCTGTAATTAGCAAATCTAGTGATTGGCATAGAGGCCCCTGCCCTGAGGCTGCTGGGACAGTGGCTCCTGGGTGAGGACTCCAGGGCCCTGGAATCTGAAATTAGCCATTTCCTGGCTGGGTGACTAGGGGCAAGGAACCCCTTTCTGAACCTGTTTCCCCTCTGCAAAAACCATGGATTGGCCTCTGCAGGCCTCAGCTCTCCCACTGCAGGACATCTCTGCTGGGTGGTACTGTCACTACCTGTTCTGACTGATGAGGTGACTAAGGCTGAGTCAGGGTCTCCCCAGGGCTCATGTGGCAGGACCCCCACTGTTCCTTCCTATGCAGATCCTTGCTGCTGATGACAAGGAGCTGAACCGCTGGTGCTCCCTGAAGAAGACCTGCATGTATAGGTGATGGCGTGGGGCTGGGCCAGGTGTCGGGGCGGGGGGTAGGCGGGCATGCACGGGTACCTCCCAGAGCACCCAGTGACAGGTGTGTCCTCTGGGCGCCCAAAGGTCAGAGCAGGAGGAGCTACAGGACAAGAGGGCGTACAGCCAGAAGGCCCAGAACTTATGGAAAAAGAGGCAGATCTTCAAATCTCTCTGTCCAGAGGAGTGAGTGTCGCTTGCCAAAGGAGGGTGGGGTGGGGAGCCCACCAGGCCTGGGTTTGAGTTGCACCGTCAGCCACTTGTTGTGTGACCTGGGTTGGGCAGGTCACTTCCCATCTTGGGACCTGTTTCCTCATTTATAAAAGGGGGTTAAAGATAGCTCGTTTCTTGTTGGGGTTTTTGAGGATTAAGTGAATAAATTCATGTGAAGTGAATAATTTCATGTGAAATACTTAAAACAGTAAATTCTGTGTAGGTTTTCGCTATTGTTGTCATGTTACTTCCTGGTCCATAGAGTAGGGATGATAGTTCCGGGAGTTGGTTTAAAGCTAGAATGAGTTAACTTATATGAGTAGCTTCGTGTAAGCACAGGTTCAAATACCAGAATCATCAGCAACCTAGTCCAGCCTCACGGCTCAGTAGAAAAACCCCAGTTCTTGTGTCAGACCTGGGTATGAATTCCAGGCCTCTGAACTGCTGCACTGCCATCTCTCTGAGCCTCTTTCCTTATCTTTAAAATGGGGGGTGTGCACCCGGGAAGGGGCCTAATCATGCCTGGCCTGAGTCCCAATTTTCCTCCCCCAGGACAGAGACACCCACAGAAGCCACAAGGAAGCCACAGAGAGACAAAGCCAGCCCGCAGGCGCAGCTGCTGTCATCTGATGGGGCTTGCAGGAAGCAGCCCCAGCCTGAGAGCCCCCCAGCCCAGAAAGAGGCCTCTGTGTCACCTACTGAGAAGCCAGCCCCCCAGAGGCGGAGGAGGGGCAAGAAGGCTCGGCTGCTGGGCCCCACAGTGAGGCTCGGAGGACAGGAGTTCAGCCACCAGAGGCTGCAGGCCTTTGGTCTCAATCCAAAACGGCTGCACTTCCGCCTGGTGGGCCGGCAGCGGAGGAAGCAGCAGAGGCCCAAGAGTGGCCCCTGAGCTTGATGGAGCAGGCAGGGGCCTGCGTGTTCCTTTCCTTCAATCAAGCCCCTGAATGCATCCCTCCTGTTAACTGTATAGACCCACGTGTCTCCCTGTGGGCAGGGAGAGTGCCTGTCTTAACAGGTGTGGAAGCTGAGGGCTACTTAACAAGCGCCCCAGAGACCTGGACACCTCGCCTTGAGATTGCACCCCGAGTCCCGTCGCTCAAATGCTGGGTCCAGCCATAGCTGAGGTCAAGTCGGACGGCTTTATTAGCCCCAAGCAGCCATAGTTCCCACACCACCACGAGCCCTTGGCAGGGCAGGGGCTTTGAAGACCAGTGAGGGGCACAGGCAGTCCCGTGCAAACTACAGTACGTGAGTCAGGCCCTGAGTGGGTGCCTAGGAGCCCGCCTGTCATCCCTCCCGTTCCGCCCTGTGCAGGGGGCCCAGCTGGCAGGAGGCAGGCCTGTGGGCAATGGCCCCAGCCTGGAGGTGTCCTGTGCCAGTCTCAGCTATACGTCTCAAGGGGGTGAGAAGAGAGAAGTGCTATCACCATCAGAGTTCAAGCTTCCACACCCCGTGTGACATAAATAAAAAAATAAATAGTGTTTGTCCTGTCTTCTCCCCATCCTGTCCCTTTATAAAAACACAAAGTCCTCAGAACTTGGGCGCTTGGCCTTGAGGAGCCGCCCAGTGCGAGGGAGCTGCAGACTTGGCTGGGGGAGCTGGGAGCAGAGGTTGTCTAGGCTGTGGTCCTGAGCGTGGCCCTCGGCCAGGGTGAACATGGGGTACCGCTCTGTGGTCGAGGAGGAGCTGAGGACCTGACAGGAGGAAGGAGAAAGCAGCTCAGCCCCAAAAGCAGCCAGTTACTGATCCTGTAGGTAGGTATCCTCAGGCAATAATCTAGGCCAGCCAATCGGCATCTTCTGTTACCGGGACAGTGATTGGCTTAGTGATGAGCACGTGATTCAGTGCAGGCAATGAAAGGCAGCCCTAGGATTTTTACTGAGTGCTGGGAAAATGGGGCTCCCCTTCCCCCGGACTGGCAGCGCCCTGATGGGAGGGTAGGGTTAAGAGACAGGGAAGGTCCTGCCATGTGAGCTCCTGAATGCAGCTGTCCCCCAAGGCAGCAAAGCCCCTACCTTCATATTATACCTCCTTTGTGGGTCTATTCAGAGCTAGGCTTTTATAACTTGTGGGCAGCATGATGATCTTGACAACATAGTCTGGAAGCAGCGCCCCGCCCCAGGTCTGCTGGCCCCAAGGCCTCTGTTGCTTCCCCACTCCAGCCCCGCGTCTCTTCCCTCACCCTCCACCACTCTTGCTCACCCTGGTCAGCTCTGAGCACAGTGTCTCAAACTCCTTCCTGCCTCCAGCATAGAACCCCACAGTACAGCTCGGGTCCATCTTGGTGAAGGCCATCTTGCGGGGTGAGGTGCAATGGAAGGACTGAGGCAGACAAAGGAAGGGAGCTCAGGGGACCCCAGCACCCTCCACATGCCCCCAAGCCGACCCTGTGGGTCCCAGCTCACCTCTAGGGGGAAGTCAGCCTGGCTAACATCCACAGCAGGCTGGCAGTAATGGGGGTCCAAGTAGAGCAGGAAGTCATCTGCAGGGGAGGAGGTGTAAGCAGGGGTGGGGTGGGGGAGGGGGGTAAGGCGAGGTAGGATGGGGAGGGACGGGGCACGCCTACCCTGGTAGCCGATGAAGTACAGTGAGTGCCGGGGCTTGCCCCCCATGATGCCCAGGCACAGCTCTGAGCGCAGAAGCTCCTGCAGGGAAGACAGTGGACAAAGGTGAGGGCTCGGGGCAAGCGTGTCAGACAGTCCCTTGACAAATGCTTAGCAGACACACAACACGTGCAGATCCAGGCCTGTGCTGGGCCCTGGGAAACAGCAGTGACCAAGATAGACGTCTTACGGGGTTGATGTGGTAGACGAGCAAGAAAGAAGTTTTGAGTTATGTATCAGAAAGTGATTATACTGGGAAAAGAATAAAGGAGGTGAGGGGGCTTTGCAATTATAAATAGGGGAATCAGGAAAGGCCTCACTGGGGGGTGAGGTTTCAGCAAAGATGACAGCAACTCGGGAAACAGCACGTACAAAATCCGGAGGCAGGTATATTCTGAGAACAGTAAGGAAGTGCCTGTGGCTGAAGCAGAGCGAGTGAGGAGAGTGGGAGCAGATGGAGTAAAGGGACAGGGACAGGACGCAGGGTCCTGTGGGCCGTGGGGAGGTCTCTGGCCTTTATTCTGAGTGTAAACACACCAGGGTCTTTCAGCCTTGCCATTCCCTTTGCCTGGAACGCTCCTCCTCTGGCTCTTCGTGTGCCCCTGGCAGGAGAGGGGCTTTCTCAGGCTGTGTAGCCACCCCCACCTGCCTGCCCCTCATCCCTAGTTTGCGTTCCTTTACAGATTGAGTTGTAACGCCAAAGCTGTCTATTTGGTTCCAGACCCGCTGTTATCAGAGAGTTCACTCCCCAAAAAGGCACACATTTTTGCCTGCTCACTTCTCAATCTCCAGCAGCTAGAAGACTGCTTGGCACATAACAGGTGCCCTGTAACTATTGGATAAACAAAGGAAGGGACCAAAGGAGGCACGTATTTCTAACCCAAGCTGAAAAAACCCGGAGGACTCCTGGGGGAGGCGCGGTGAATCTGGCTGAACCTACCTTCACGCAGGGCACGTACACGGGGTTGAGGGTCTCACCACCCAGCCGCACGGGCACCAAGATGACCACGGACTTCCACTCAGCTGTGGGGTCTGGCCTCGCCACCAGGCGTGCCACATCCGCCTTGTACACTGGAAGAACAGGACAGCAGGTCATCTTCTCACTGCCCTTCAGGCTTCAGAGTATGGCCCTCCGTCCCCAGGGGCCCAATCTCGCCCAAGCAACTGCTGGGGGAGTGACTCTCCCATTGTTGGTGGAGAAGGAAGTCTTCCCAGAGTCCCCAGATTCCCTCAGACAACCACTGGGTCCCCATTTACAGAGAGCAACCAAGACCGTGAGAGTTGGATGAAGAACATACAGCCAGGAGGAGGTGGGGCCTGTCCCTGCTGCCCCCACCCCCCACCCCCAGTCCCAGGCCTGACTGGCCCTCCCTGACTCAGTGTCTGCATTTGCCAATATGGAAAGGGGAGCATGGAGCAGCCCACGGCCGCATGGCCCTGCGTGTCCCTCCTCTTCAGCCCCGATCGGCTGCTGTCCGTTCTCCCCCTCCTCCCTCGCTGGTGCCCAGAGAAGTGGATTCAACCGTTTTTGGAGACGTAGCTGCTATGATCTGAATGCTTGAGTCCCCCCAAAATCTGCATGTTGGAATCCTAGTTCTAAGGTTGATAGTGTGGGAGGTGATTAGGTCATTGAGGGTGGACCCCTCAAGAATGGGATTAGTGCTGTTATAAAAGAGGGACCCCTCACCACTTTTTAAAACTATGTATATTGACAGATGTTAACTAGATTTATTGTGGTCATCATTTCCAATGTATAGGGGGGAGCAAAAATAGGGTTACAAGTAGTGAGCACATGAAACACAGAGTTTATTCTTGTATTATTATTCATTATTGTATTATTTTCCAAACAACCATAAACCTACTTTTGCCCCAACCTGCACACAAATATCAAATCATAATGTTGTATACCTGAAACTAATATACTGTTTCAGGTCAATTATACTTGAATGGAAAATAAATAAATAAAAATGACACCCCAGGGAGCTGGCTTGCTCATTGTGCCAAGCGAGAATATAGCGTAGGGAACCAGGAGTGCACTCCCACCAGGCACCACCTCTGCCTGCGCTTCCTGTCCTTTATTCTATCACTTGGGGCAAAGCTCCTGAAGTTTCCTGTCCTGGATCTAGAGGAAGTGGAGGGCTCCTGAGCATCCCTCCCTGGGTAGGCCTTGAATCTAACCCAGAACTTGTTTCAGCCTCTAAGAAACATTGGTCCTAAGAGGCAGCTGAGTAGCTCAGGATGAGAGCCCCACCACCTTGGTTATGAGAAACCTCACCTGTACAGTCCTGAGAAACATACACCACCAGGTGGGTGACCTCTGAGCAGCTCTCCACAGCTTTCCTGGGGCCAAGAAGAAAGGCTTGAGTTCCTTGGGGGACCCAGTGGCTCCCATGTCCCCTGCCGTGGCCCTCACCTGAGTATATGTGCCACAAGAGATGGCCCATACCAGTCACCTGCCTTCTTGCCTGAGCTCTGCCCGAGCTCCACCAGCTGGTGTAGGCCGAAGGGGGCCTGGGGGTGGTCGGCGAACCAGGACACAATCTGCCGATGCCGGCGTTCCTGCTCCAGCTCAGGGGCACGCTGGGCCCAGCGCAGGGGCATAGAGTGGGCAGGCCCACGGAACCGGTTGGGAGAGGCCAACCCTGATGGCTCAGGGGGGCCCAGGCCCGCACCCTTGGCCCATGTCCAGTCTGGTGGGGATGGAGTACATTGTCAACCAGTGCCATTGCATGGGGGTCACAGTTCCCATTTACCCATGCTTTACACACAATTCTAATGCTCCTGAGACCCCATGTTTAACAATTTTCACATTCTTGAAACATAAACAGCACTAACGCCCTCTCAAAACTTACTTTATACACAATTGTAACGTGACTTTAAATTTTAGTTACAAACAATGCCAACACTGCTGACCTGTGTGGTCAGCTCATTCTCCTGGTGTCCCCTTCCCCCTCCGCCCCTCACCTCTGGGCAGGAAATGCAGCAGGAGGCCCTGTGCCAACATCATCTGCCCGCTCCGTAACATGCAGCCCCAGCCGCAGTCTGAAGTCAGGCAGCCCCCAGCAAAGGGCGGGAAATCCCGGCGGTATGTGAGCCACAGGCGGGACACAAAGTCCCTTTGGAAACGCTGGATGTCACCTATAAGAGCAGGCTTGTCAGCTCCACCAGGAACACCGCTGGGGGCCTCTCCCAACCCTGGCCTGGGGCTACCAGCTCACCCTCACTCTCAAAGCAGTAGCGGCGGCCACAGAGGTGGACGCTGGAGATCTTGCTAAACCTGGTCCGG